CTCTGAAATCTTTTCATGACTCTCTCCCCCCTCCCCTCCCCCCCTCATTGGTAGTTCATTTGCTGTCAATTTTCAAAAAAAAAAATCTATGCTGCGCTCTCAAAATCCCCTACCCCCCTCCCCTCCCCTCCGGAAGATAAATAATGGCCAGTCCCTCAGGTCATTCCTCCGAAATAGAACCTGAACTGAGATTTTTGTTTGGTCCGTAAATAAGAGATCTGAAGCCGGCGACACACCTGGCGATTTTATTTGATCGCCGTGATCGGCATATAAATCGCTGACATCTGGCACGTCGAAATCGCCGCACCGGGCACACCAAGCGATTGTCGCCGACCGCCGTGATCGGCGTTTAAAATCGCAGGGTGTGTCGCTGCCTTCAAACAGCGCGGTTTAACAACTTTCTCGAAGTTAAAGAAATTGGCTTGGTCCATTAATGAAATGAAAAATGCGGACAGAAGTGTCTTAAAGACCGCACCCTAAACAACTTCAGCTTCTTAATAAAGCTATTACATTTCTATCTTTTGACTTCCACAAGTAAGTTTACGATTTTCTATCAAAGAGCTAAAACAGCTTCTAATGCCAAAGGAATCCAAAATTATCGCTCGGCCAGCGGATGAGGGTAAGAGGATAAAATAAGACAAGGACTCAAAATACGAGACGATGGCGAAGAGCGATTGTTAGAGCAAATCAATGGCAGATCGAGATCCTGGTTTAGGGATCGGTCATAATTTAATCCCAGGGGAGGGGAGGGGGAAGTAGGAGGATTGTGGTTGTGTCACAATAGAATTTACCTGATTTCCCCCTCCCCACCACTCCCCGGCCATAGCACTTTGTGGTATTTTAATGATCCCCCTCATTGGCCATCAATTTTCTGTGTTCCCCCTTTATACTTTACAAGCGACGACTGATCCCCCCTAAATAATAATTATTCACTTAGGTAACGAGGTTTTCAAGGTTTGCCCAATTCAGTCGCTGAGGTATAAAGTTTAAATATGCTGAAGATCGATATTTCACCCGACAAAGCCAGGAGCCCATTATCCCTCAGTTATGGAATCTCTGCTGTGACTAGGCGTCGCTAAATTACCATTATTTTCAAATCGTTTTAGTATCAAATTTCCCGCTACACAAAAAATTGCAAAGCCTAGTGAATTAGCTTCTTGCAAAATTGAGGTTTTGCAATGTCATTGAGTATTCACGTTTACTCGAGACAAATTTCCTTACACTGTTCATTTCACCGACGAATTTGAAGAAGTGAATGAAAGGCGAGATAGGCTTATCGACACATTATGCCTATTAAAATTTAGCTGAGGCTCTTGAAAAGAGCACTGAATCGTTGATAACATTTATAGAGTGTAGGAGAATGAAATTAAGTAACTTACTCGAGCTCTGGAAAGACATAGACTTTTGTTACTTCACGTTTACTCAGTTGGTTTGTGGTCACTGTCCGGTCACCCACGTGCTTCGGTTTTTTTCCCTCCAAAACCTATATTTAAGGCCATCCAACATCAGGGATTCAGCTGACTGGCATTAGAACTACCTAACGCTTGTCACAAAACGATTAGTCTCACCAAAAGGCGTAATTTTAAGCCAAATGGGTAACGGAAGCTCGGAAGCTCTTCGTTCAAAGTTGCATACACAACTAAAATGAATATCAATTGAGTGTTGACATATTTGCAATGCAAATCAAGCATTTCGTTATCTCACGGTCAATCTTCTGAATGAAGTTATGCGAAGGGCAGGTGTGATTTCTGCTATTGATAATTTTAGTTGCTCATTTGTTTTTCGGGAAAAAAAACATAGTGACAGGAATAAAAAATTAAAAATCAAATGAAAATAAAGAAAAATAATAGATTGTTAAAAACTTAAAGTTAGAGCCGTAGAATCTAAAAACCTATTCCCAAAGGCGAGAAAACCAGAGATGCGCTAAACTCAATGCTCACCAGAAAAATGAATCCAACTGTAACTGCTGCCACGCCTTTGCCACCGGACATTGATTCGTTATAAGTTTGTTTCGTGTTAAACGTGTTAAACCGCGATAGTGACGTTACTGTTTGTCCATTAGGGACGTGATCTTTAAGTTCCACCCAGAACTGCATTCTAGTTAGTTATCTTGCTTTTGGGCTAACGATAAGACGTGTTTATCGAAAAGCGCCTTTTTGCCCACCTTATCTTGAAGTTCGTTTTGGTCAAACTCTTAGAAGCGGGACTGTTATGTAAGTGCTTATGTTCCTTTTCTTTATGCTTATCTAAACATCTAGTCTTTCGGTAGTTTCGCCTAGTTTTTACACCAGTTTCTTTGCAACCTGGTAGTACGTGGCTTACGTTGTTCAGGCTTTGTTTGTAAGCTGCCCGTTTTTCCCACTCGGTTATTAGTTTTCTTAGAATTCGTTTTCAAGCGGTTCTCCTTTATCCTTTGAAGATAGTCTTTTTGTGAGTTTGTTTTAGAGTTTTAGCTAGTCTTTTGGGATCTTGATTTTATATCGGAATGATTGGAATGTTGGTCCGTATCTTAGAATTTTGCTTAGCTTCTTCCTTATAATTTCATATTTCAGTTTACGATAAGTATTTGGATACCTTGACTACGCTAGTAAAACGATTCAAGTCTTTTCCGTAAAATATATCCTCGCTTCATAGTTGTCTTCATTAGCGAAACTCAGTTGTCGTTGAAATTTGCTTCGCTTGTGTCGGCTGTTACACTAACTGAAGCCGCTGCATCGATTCGCACTCTACCGCAGTCTCCTATTCTCTAAATTATTCAAGAAATGGACTGATTTTAGACTGAGCCTGCAAGCAAACTCACATTGGGGCAGCGAAACGAGTGGCAAAGCTTGCGCGTTTTAAGGGTGCGAGAGGTATAAGAGGGAGACCTTTCATTCACTCACATTGCCACCTGGAATTATGCAGGCTTCATCGCTCTTATCGCAGCGCCCACAAGATCCTACTCGCGGGCTATTGTAGACTGCAAAAGGCATTGAGCATTAGTACATGATTTGACCACCATGAATATCGAACAAGACCATAAATTTCAACATAAAAAAAACGTGTATAGAGAAATTTTCAATTGAGCGTCGGGAGTAATCCGGAATTATTTGCTGGTGCTTTACCTAGGTCTGTGATTAGTCTAGAAAACTCCCGCCATCCTCTAAACCAATCAGACCCTAAACAGAAACCAGTTGTGACATGGTCACCCGCGTTTCCCCCGCTTTTATTAGTTTGCCGGCTTCTACTTTGACGCAAGACCTCTGTTATGATCAGTTGTCGTCATCACTTTGATTTCGTTTTACGACAGTCAATTTAAAAATGCTGTATCATCTGATCTACCGCAAACCTTGCATAGGAAGCCTGATTATCTTTAACCCTAACATCAGTGTGCATTTTCTCCACACTGTTCTCTATACATTTCTTATTGCACTGACAAGGAGAATTTGTTTAACAATCAAGAGCTTCTTTAGTTGGTGATAACTTCCTCTATTCTCATGACGTCAATGTTTGTTTTAGGGTTGATACTGATAGGAGAAATTACTTGCTAATCAGTCTTAGAGGTTAAAGGGTTAAGAGCCTGTGAGGCCAATCAAACTCTACTATGCGTACCGGCCTACAAAGGGAAGGGAGAGAGAGGAAACGTTTGAGTACAAAGCGGAATACTTGGCGTAAGAAGCCCATTTACGAAAAAAGAGGTTAGAATCCAAACTGCGTAGAAAATTGTATTTTATAGAGTTTCGGATGTCGTTACGGCGATGTGTGGTAAGCGTTGCCAAAAAAAACGTAAGTTATATTCCTCTAAGACTTTCGCCAATAGCTCGATACGTTAACCGTTTTTGACTGTACGACATCTTTCCTTCGGCAAACTGAACAAGTAAATGCAGTGGTAAATTTAAAGTAAAAGCGTGAGTAAATTGCTGTCGAGGTTTCCTCGCTAAGAGGACGTAAACGTTGGGGATTTCAAGTTTTTTTTCTGTAGGGAACTGCTAAGAAATGTACAAAGTTTTAAAACGCACGTGTTTCGCTATAGTTTGCTCGTTGGATTTTTTTTGTTTCGCTACGTACACGTTGCTGTCGCCGTTGTGGTTTTCTTAAAGTCCCTATTGAAGTTGGTAAAGTAACTGTAAAAAAATCGTTTTTTTAAACAGTATTAACTTTGTATAAAATTTAAACTCCGAAACTTCTTAAAATTCCATACAAAGGGATGACAAATTTGTGCGAATTAAATTACAAAACAACTAAAACCAAATCCGTAAATCAAACAAAAAAAGTACGGGTAAAATGTCCAAGTCAGTTTTGAATGTCAAGGTTAGAGTTCTTTGACGTGACTGGCTAATTTGTGAAATCAAGCGCGCTACGCTCGAATACAAAAATACTGAGGGGGGAGAGGAAGAGAAAAGTTGTAATTTTCAATTCTTCACTTGGGATCTGGGAGGGTGTTAACCCCAAAAGAGGTGTCATTTGCTTTTTTCTAATTCTTGCGTATTTTCTAATCTCTTTCGCAGCTGTTCTTTGGAATGTCACGCAAGGCTTCCCCCAACCAATGACAAAGGAATGTTGTTCATTTGCAAGTACCTGTTAGCTAAAGAACGGCTACGAAGGGGACTTACGTTTTTTCAGGCCAGCGGAGTGTGAGCACGAGACAAGCGCGAGAGGCACATAGGATGGGCCACGCGCGACAATCGTCTCTCAAGCTCTTCCTGATCTCCTCTGTCTTACACCAGGCTCTATCTGTCTCAAATCTTGAGCCTTAGCGTAAATGCGATACAAGACACGAACTTTTAAAAACCACCTCGGAGTTGCTTAGGCATTACATTGTTTCCAAGAACCAGGTTTTCTTTATGTTTACGGAAACTGGAGCTTTATGGGTCGCCAAGCTGTGACATAGCTGCTCTACTTTATGTATTATTGCCGCGGCAATGACCGGCAAATGGAGTATCTAGCTCTGAGAAAAGGTAGAAGTCATGTGGATTCTTCGGATAAGTGCGTTTTCGTAAACCGGAATCATACGGCCTGCATGTTGTTCTAAGTTTAAAGCATAACTTCGATCTCAACATTTATAAAACACAAAAACTAGTAATTGAACTGAATTGATTCTGGAGGAACCATCTTCCTAAAAAAGTCTAAAATTTACATTAAACAATCACACTCTACTTTTCAAACAGTGGCAATTGATGTTTCCAAGTTATGTAAAGTTCTTACAGTTAGCGGCGGCTTTTGATCCTATTTTTCTCATTTGTGATCTGTTACCGCGCCCGCCAAGCGCCACTTATTATCAGAACATTGTCCAATTTAAAATAAGGAACATTCCCTTTCACTGCGAACAGGTCCAGGGCTATGTGCTCTCTCTCTTTCCTGCTATAGCCGAGCTAGTGCATCCTGAACGACTCTCAGTTTCTCATCTTTAGGACCAACGTTCTTGTCATAAATTGCGAAGGCACGATCTTGTGCTTCGTAGATGTAACCCTGATCAACGTGCGCAGCGCCCACGTTTTTGTAAATATCTGCTACTTTGACATGTTCCAGCCCGAATATTTCATCCAGCGCTAGTTCGTGACAGTCTTTTCCCTGCTGTAGGTCACCTACTTTCTAGTGTACAATACGCAGGTTATTATGAGACGTTGCAACTTTTGCATGTTCAAGTCCGAGCTTTTTCAGGTAAATACTCAGCAAGTACACCTGGCAGTCTTTTGCCTTCTTTTGGTCATCCAGCTGATGACGTACAAGATCCAGGTTTTGTTCAAGTCCGAGATTTTTTAATGATAGATGTGTAGCGCTCGCTCGTGCCAGTCTTTTGCCTGCTTTAGGTCACCCAGCGTATCGCGTACAAGGTCCAGGATATTGTAAGACGATGCAAAATCAACGTGCTCAGGTCCGAACTTTTTCATGTAAACATCCAGCACTCGTTCATGACTGTCTTTTGTCTGTTTTGTGTTACCCAGCTGACTTTACACAAGGCCTAGGTTATTGTAAGACGCTGCGACAAGAACATGCTAAGGTCCGAGATTTTTAAGCTTAATAGCCAGCTCCCGCCCGTGACAGTCTTTCGCTGCCTTAAGTCACCCAGCTGACGGTGCACAAGACCCAGGTTATCGTAACATGTTGTGACATAAACATTCTCAGGTCCGAGCCTTTTCATGTAAACATACAGCGCTCGCTTGTGAAAGTCCTTAGCCTGCCTTAGGTCACCCACCAGACTAAGTACAAGACCCAGGTTATTGTGAGATGCTGCGACATCAATTTTCTCAGGTCCGAGCTTTTTCCGGTAAACATCCAGCGCTCGCTCGTGACATTATTTTGTTTGTTTAAAGTCACCAGCTTACGGTGTACAAGACCCAGGTTTTTGTGAGACGCTGCGACATCAGCATGCTCAGGTCCTACGTCTTTCATGAAAACATCCAGCGCTCGCTCGTGAAAGTCTTTCGTCTGCCTCAGGTCACCCAGCTGACTGTGTACAAGACCCAGGTTACTGTCAGACGCTGCAACCTTTTCATGCTCAAATCTGAGATTTTCAGGTAAACATCCAGCGCTCGCTCGTGAAATTCTTTTGCTTGCTTTAGGTCACCCAGCTGACGGTGAAAAATATCCAGGTTGTCGTAACACGTTGGGACATAAACTTGCCAGTGCTCGTTCGTGACAGTCTTTTGCTTGCTTTTGGTCACCCAGCTGATTGTGTACAAGAGTCAGGTTACTGTGAGACGCTGCAACATCAGCATGCTCAGGTCCAAGCTTCTTTGTGTAAACATCCAGCGCTCGCTTGTAACCGTCTTTTGCTTACTTTAGGTCACCCAGCTGACATTGTACAAGAGCCAGGTTATTGTCAGACGCTGGGACATCAGCATGCTCAGGTCCGAGCTTTTTCAGGTAAACATTCAAAGCTCGCTCGTAACAGTCTTTTGCCTGTCTAAGATCACCCAGCTGACGGTGTACAAGACCCAAGTAACTGTAAGACGCCGCGACATCAACTTGGTCAGGTCCGATCTTTTTAAAGTAACCATTCAGCGCTCGCTCGTGACAGTCTTTTGCTTGCCTTAAGTCACCCAGCTGACTGTATACAAAACCTAGGTTATTATAAGACGCTGCGACCTTTTCATGCCCAGATCCGAGCTTTTTCAGGTAAATAGCCAGCGCTCGCTCGTGACAGTCTTCTGCTTGCTTTAGGTCACCCAGCTGACGGTGTAAAAGACCCAGGCTATCGTAACATCTTGCAACCTTTTCATGCTTAGGTCCGAGCTTTTTCAGATAAATATAAAACGAGCGCACGTGACATACTTTTGCCTGGTTTAGGTCACCCAGCTGACAATGTACAAGAGCCAGGTTATTGTAAGACGCTGCGACATCAGCATGCTCAGGTCCGAGCTTTTTCAGGTAAACATTCAACGCTCGCTCGTGACAGTCTTTCGCCTGCCTTAGGTCACCCAGCTGAAGGAGTACAAGACCCAGGTAGTTGTAAGACGCTGCGACATCAACGTGCTCAGATCCGATCCTTTTAAGGTAAATATCCAGCGCCCGCTCGTGACAGTCTTTTGCTTGCTTTAGGTCACCCAGCCGACGGTGCACAAGACCCAGGTTATTGTATGACGCCGCGACATCAACATGCCCAGGTCCCAGGTTTTTCATGTAAACATCCAGCGCTCGCTTGTGAAAGTCTTTCGCCTGCTTTAGGTCACCCAGCTGACTGTGTATAAGACCCAGGTTATTGTAAGACGCTGCGACCTTTTCGAGCTCAAGTCCGAGTTTTTTTAAGTAAACATCTAGTGCTCGCTCGTGACAGTCCTTGGCTTGCTTCTGGTCACCCAGCTGACGGTGTAAAAGACCCAGGTTATCGTAACACGTTGAGATATAAACATGGTCAGGTCCGAGCTTTTTCAGGTAAACATCCAGTGCTCGCTCGTGACAGTATTTTGCCTGGTTTAGGTCACCCAGTTGACGATGTACAAGACCCAGGTTATTGTAAGACGCTTTGACCTTTTCAAGCTCAAGTCCAAGCTTTTTCAGGTAAACCTCCAGTGCTCGCTCGTGACAGTCTTTTGCTTGCTTTAGGTTACCCAGCTGACGGTGTAGAAGACCCAAGTTATCGTAGCACGTTGTGATATAAACATGGTCAGGACCGAGCTTTTTCAGGTAAATATCCAGTGCTTTCTCGTGACAGTATTTTGCCTGGTTTAGGTCACCCAGCAGACTGTGTAGAAGACCCAGGTTAGAGTAAGACGCTGCGACCTTTTCATGCTCAAGTCCAAGCTTTTTCAGGTAAACATCCAGCGCCTGCTCGTGACAGTCCTTTGCTTGCCTTAGGTCACCCAGCTTACTGTGGACAAGACCCAGTTGACTATTAATAGCTGTTTTTTCCAATTCATTACTTGGGTCTCCTAACTTGATGATGGCTAGGACTGCTGTTAAGCAGCTTCTTGCAGCAGGATATTGAGAGTGCTCGTAGCACATTTTTCCTAGGGTTCTAAAGACCTTAGAATAGTCGTGCGAGGTGAATTCACCAATTTGAACGACTTGAGATATTCCTTCTTCAGAAAACAAATATTCGGCGTCTGTAATCACTTTTGCCAAATGCGGAACAATTTTCGTGCTAATTACCGGAGAATCTTGATCCTTGAATCTGGAGAAGGATAAAACAGCCCCTAATACGGTATTGATTTGCTTATCCTTTGCAGATTTCTTCGTCACTGAATTAACAACGTAATGAACGACTCTATGCACTCGAATGTAGACACCGCTCTCTTCTTCCTCAAACAACAACAGTGGGCATCGACTTATCTTTTCACCAATCGCATCTTTATCTTCAAATTCTCCTTCCATTTCCATGATATAGTCGATCACAATATCTTTTAGAATAAGTTTTGGGGCACAAAGAGAGAGAAAAGTGAAAAAGTGATTTATTACTCTATCGGAACTCATTGCCTCCAAGGCGATTGTTATTGCTGCGGTCATTGTTTTTGGGTAACCTGGGTTTGTCTCGGCGAGGGGGTTCTCAGTTGTACGTTGCTGGCCCTCTTCAAGTTTCTTCAGATAGTCGTTCCAGCCGAAACTTGAAATGTTACCTTCTTGAACTTGTCTTACATAGATGGCGGCGCTGGCCAAAGCAAGCGGCTGGTGCTCTAAAGACCGAGCAATTTCTTTTTCCGTCTTGTCATCTGTGACACCAGAAAGAAGCCTCAACATAGAGCTGGCATCATCAGGAAGCATCCCCTCGCTTACTGAGATGTGCTGAATGGAGGAACTTGTCACAGGAATGGACGTGTTGTTTTGTGTAGTTATCAGCAACTGACCCCTTTCCCATTGTTGGTTTCCTGGATCTGGCAAATAAGTATGTACATAAGACAAACTAGTGACGTTGTCAACTACCAGCAACCACGACGTGTAAACCCAATTTTTTCGCTTATTAGGGTCTCGAGGCTCGCAATTTTCTCATCTGCGCTCAGATCTTTGGAATTACGAGTGTCTTTAACTAAATAATGTGGACATTTACAATGTTGAGCGAAAGACACAAACGATTCCAAAAGTGTTTCTGAACTTTCGGCATTAAACGTCATGACAAATGAAATCACACCGGGAGTTTCTTTGCTTTCGTCGAAGAATCGCTTGGCTGTTAGGCGGGCCAGCTGAGATTTTCCACTTCCAGGATTTCCGGATAAGTACAAGGTGCTTAAGCTGTCACTGTTAGCAGCTTTGAGTTCTTTGAGGTGTTGTGTGATTTTACCGACCTCCGATCCGCGAGGGGAGACGTCATGTGTAGGTTCAGGAGGGAGAATACAAAACGGGGAGACTCCATTTTGCAATTGTTCTTCAAGGGTCTGTTGTTGATTCTCTTTTTCTTCAACTTCCTTGTCTTTTTCTTCGAGTTCCTTGTCTTTTTGGTGGAGTTTCTTTTCCCTCTCTTGAACCTCTTGTTGAAGGTCGTCAACTTTCTCTAGAACATTTCGTAACTCTTCCGTTGGGAAACTTGTCTGATTTTGGATTTCACGAATTTTCAGAGTGGAAAGATCGAGTGCGTGAAATATAGTATTTATCTTTAAAATCGCATTTTGAAAATCTCCACTGGAAAGGTAGCCTCGTGGCATATGCGCAAATTCTTCATTACGAAATTTTCTGAGATCATCCAAATTTGATTTAACAACTGGATGGAGACTGCGCATGCAATCGGAATAAAGGATGGCATAAAACAGTGTGGTACAATCCCATTCAGCTGTGTCACCATTTCTCATAGTTGTCAAGAAACGGGCGTTTCTGGCTCTGTTTTGAGGGGATTCTCTGTTCCAAAAGTCCATTCCATTTTTCGGTTCATCTTTCCACTCTCCAAGGGTTGCCTTGTAGTGCCTGTCCCATTCTTGTTTGAAGATTGCTCGCAGACCCTCAGTTAGTATATCAGTGACTACATAACAAATCCTGTAGTAGTTCAGTTGCCCTGCAATGCATCGCAGTGAGGAATATAAAAAGGGTACCTTTCATTAACCAATAGACAAAAATTCACAATTAACAATACCGAAACTATTATTAATGTTTATTATTACTACTTTTTGATTGCAAATAAGGAGCAAGGTTCTTTAATGAGCACAATGGTTGAATAACATACAAAGATGATTTCCGAACATTTCCGTTCAAGTTCAAATTACGTATTGGTGCAGAGGGAAAAGAATCAGTATTCGCTTTATAAATAGGTCTAGGCTCCTCCCCTTCTGAAGGTAGAGAAAATTGACTGATTGATTAGGAGGCTCTTTTACATCATTTTAAATACAGACAAGGCTGAATTTAGCTTATTTTGAGCTTATTAAAGCCTTCTGACAATCATGGGATGAGAAAAACCAAGCGATTAATTCACGAAAAGCGTCTCGCGTTGTGTGACTCAGTGTTAAGTTACGAGAGGAACCGTTGAGAATTTGAACGAGTCATAAAGAATAGTATGGGGAACGAAATATGGTCCATTTACAACGATAAATATTTCGAAATATGAACATTTTATGCGTAAAATCAATAAAACTTACTAATATCATGTGTCCGTTGTGGTTTCTGGCGTCCTCTTCCGTTTTAAGCTTACTTTGCCATCATAGTTATTCCTGTCTCATGACAGGAATAACAAATATTTATCGTTGAAAATCGACCATATTTCGTTCACCATACTATTCCTTATAACGTGTTCAAATTCTCAACGGTTCCTCTCGTAACTTAACACCGAGACACACAACGCGTGACGTTTTCGTGAATTAATCGTTTGCTTTTTCTTGAGACGGGAGCTTGGGCTGCCTGTGGTAACACCTTACTCAGGCGACTGTCGACGGTGGGTGAATTTGCTTCGAGATAAGCCTTTCCAGCGAGTTCAGACCAAGTTACCAATTACACACATGTGCGCAATAGATTATTTGAAAGAAATAATATGGGAAGGACCCATCTATTAACTAAATTTGCGAAAATGCCGTTGCTCAAGATTGTAGGCCGTGCGTGCTTCGAGGAATGGACCTCTAAGGGTACTCAGCAGAAAGTTTTTGAAAACTTTATGTAGAGCTGGCGAGAATCCTTAGAGAGAGGCCTCAATGACTTGCACGGGACGAATATCCCATCAGGGGGAAAAGCGACTGGAATCATGAGGTTTGTGCCTGCTGGCTGAGTTTCGGGTCTTTTTCGAATTTGGAAATGTCTTCAGGACTATTCCTTATTCATCACCTTGGCGGGGGAGGGTGAAGGATATTTGGGGGGATCACATAGATTTCAGGGGGAACAATGGGGGATCATTTGTTCCCAAGGGTATACAGGGCGGACCATAGAATGTGTCTGCCATTAACCTCCAACGATCATAAGAATATTGCAGCCTAATGGGCCTTATGAGGGGGGGGGACGTGGGTAAATTTTGTGGCTCATCTAAAATCCTCCGATCCCCCCTCTTCCCACCCCCGTAATAAGTAATGACTAGTCCATTAGATTCGTTGATGATAAAAAAAATAACGAAATAACGATTCCTTGCCAACAGTATTTCTGCCTTATACAGTACATTGCACTACAACGCAATGCTTACTATTCACAACGCAGTACTTATACTGTTAGCAAAACTAAAACCTTAATCGATTATAGGACATAAACAGAAGTTACAATCAAGAGAAAATGAGAGGACACCGATGAAAAATTAAATGCATTGGCCTTAGTAGATTAGAGATATTGTTTTGCTCGAAAAATGCAGCTTCACAGCTCAGATGGTAGTACAGCCCAGTTAGTATCTCATTTTCTCTTGTGTCAGCAGATTGCGAGACTAATTCTTTTTTGTTTTTTGTTTTGGAACTTTGCTTTCATTGAAAGCGTGTACATTACTCATGATGTGCTACTAAAGATATACGAACTGCTAAAAAACTAACAAACTGCTAAAAAAGAAGACAACGTCCACTAACTCTTTTACATCAAACTACTTATGGCTAAAATACCTTTTTTAATATTGTAAAAGCAAACAGTTGCGTACAGCCAGCAGGAAAAACTAAAAGCTTATGGAGCAGTTCGATCACTCAGACACGAAAAAGAGCGCAAAAACTTTTAACTTATTTCACCTGTCACCAAAGACGAAGTTTGTTAAGAAAGATTATGAAAAAGGCAATCAAGAAAATTGCGATCCGCTTTCTGTTAATAATCATTACTGCACTATTTCTTCCCCGTCCATAAGCTTGCTTAAAGTACTTCCTCTTATGCGACTAATTTTACTTTGTTCATTTGAGCAGAATATATAATTAACAACGCTATTTATACCTAATTCAGTCGAAACCTGCCAAAATTTTTCTTTACCAATTTTAGATAATGTAAAAGGATTCAGTCTTATCTGCATCCAATATGTACCGGAATTACAGCAGGAAAGCTCACGCTTTCCAGTTGAACCTAATGGCACCCACATGTAACATGATCTGCTTGAAATATCATGCAATTCAAATAATTCACTTATAAAATTAACAATGGACTTAGCACTGCTCTCAGTTACCCGTACTATATTAAATTAAGAGCTTAAAAGAGCTTGGCAAGATATCTTAAAATAAAAATATTCTTATCATAAGGTTCAATATGTGCATTGTATGGTGAGACATTTAGAATGAAACAAAAGATAAACTTTAAGAGTAAATTCAAACAGTTATAAAATCTTGAGTTGACCTTCCTATAAAATCCACTGTGCAGCAATTCTATGGAGATGATCAGGTTACTATTCGAAGTGACCCATCATCTGTGAATCTGCCTTCATGACTAGCACCGTCACTGTCTCGAACCTTGCCTGTAGTGAACGATTAAATAGAAGATAATAAAAAGGTTAAGTTAAGATTCATTTAAATTTGTTCCTCTCCCTCAATTGGCCTATGGTTTATATCGCAAGTGAGTAATAATACAATTATTTATAGAGTTTATGTTGGCGAGCATTATTTAAGGCCCGACTCAGAGTCATTTAAGCCCGAGCCGCTAGGCGAGGGTTAGAATGACTCGAGGAAGGCTCAGAAGGGCTAAAAATACAAATATGCCCAAGAACATAAACTATACTATTATCATTATCACTTTGAAGGGAACTGAGAAATTAAAAATTGAAAACTAGAAAAAATGAAAAAAATAAAAATAAATCTAATTCCAAGGTAGAGAATAAAAATATGAAGCTTCTTTAATAACACAAAACGAAAAGAAGTAAAACCAAGAATATCCTACAAAGTCCAACTTTTCATTCTTAAAATTCCAAAGAAAGTCTTGCATTGACCTGACACAAAGTCAAGTATCGTTCGTCTGAACCATGATTACTAAGAAACTGGGAACGGAGATTTGCCAAAATGCCAAAATATGCTTTGTAACGAAAAAATGTTTCATCTAGGTAAATTTGTGTTACTCTGCTGTTTTTATGACTACAGGAGATTGGAATGAAGAGTTGTTCCTTTTAATGTTCTTTACGAAAAGAATGGAGGTTGTTTCTTTTGGGGAGATTTTCAACTTTTTTAACTTTGAATGAGTGTGGTGCGCGCAGTTTTGTGAATGCCTCAGGCAGTGAGCGCCAAACCAAGGTACCCCACAAACTTATTTCTAACAATGCTGGTATCAATGTCGTCGGTTATATTGTTTCCATCGTCCATGAGCATGCAGGAATACAGAAATCGGTCCGTAGTAACACATGGAAATCCCCATGACAACATTTACCATTGTAGTGCTCACTCGCGACACGCCAAATATCAAACCAATCAACGTTTTTAGTTTCAGTATTGCCTTCTTTTGACAACCTACAACATAGAGCAGAGTAAGACCTACTTGTAATGGGCAAGCTATACCTTTCAATGATGTTGTTATATACTCGTCTAGAACGAAATAGCGCCTAAATTTTTAAATAATTAAGGCGCCCCAATTCAGTTCTAAGTCCAAAACTCTGCCAGAGCTGACGATGTTGGAATCCAAGTTAAGTACTATACACCCGTAGAACTCTGGAGGAGACTCTCAAACGCCAACAGGGATTGATTCAACCGAAAAAAGAACAATTAAAAAAAACTGTAACTGAAGGTAACAGATCTAAATTTGAATAACATCTATATGTGCGTATGTGCGTGTGTTTGTTTGTGTGTGAATTATACGCATTTTGATTGGTTGTTACTTGTGCATTTATGACATCACCATTTAAGTTTGAAATCGCTTGAAATGTCTTCACAACATCTGATACTCCCAAAAAGTAATGCACCTAGCTAGCGGGCAGTTTTATAGGCTAAAAAATTCCTATTGGCAAAAGGATGTGTTCACGATCATTTAAATGTCACTTTTAGGGTACAAATTACCCGCCTATTCATAATGTTACCTGACTCTTGTATTTTGAATATAATCGGCCAGCTCTTCATGTCCATCACGTCTGGCAAAATCTTCCGGCAACATGCTGCGACTCTCGAAACTGTTCAGCACTGCGTGTGCTGCTTCTGTGCAGAAGATAATCTCAATAAATTCCTGACAACCAATCCGCACTGCTTTGCGGAAAAGAAGTTGAAGAACCTCAACTGACCAAGCATTGGTATTCTCATTCACCTCACTGCATGCCATAAGTTCGAAAAATGCCAACCGTGTATCCTCATGCGACACAATCTGTGCACGCCCTTCAGGATCGTTATATCTAAATAACGTTGAACCAACGATCCGGGAACCTTTTGCAGTTACAAAATGTAAGGTTACTTTCTTCTTTCCAATATGGTCGGAGCCTGAAATAAAAAAATCAATATGGAAACGTATGTAAGTGGCCATGGAAAATTGGTTTTAAGTAACATTCCATCTACATTAATAAAAAAAATCACCAAAAAAACGGTGTCATGAAGTACTTTAAAAGTTACATGGTTCATGTAATCGCCAACATAGAAAGCCATATTGCCTATCATACAACTAAAACTACATCCAAAATTTACACAACTAGTTTACTAATCAAACTTGATCATCTTAAGG